TTGCACTGCTCTTGGGCTTCTGCCCGTTCTACCTCACCTGCTTGTCTCTTGATCTTGCACTTGTTATACACTGATATCTATATTTAAACATGCATGCTTCGTCTTGCTAGGTTGTGATCAGTGTACTGCCTTGCTATTATAACTCTGCATGTGAACTGGCCTTGTGGCCGCTTGCTTGTGCTCGGATTGTGTGGTGTCCTTGAGATCCACCCTGAGCTTTACTTTTCTTTGCTCTGTTGTCTTGCTTGACTGATCTTGTGACCGTCTTGTTGTCCCCCACTTAGCCTATGGGGGTGTGTCAAAGTACAATCTTACTTGTAGGCTATAGTGGGGCACTCCTTATGGGGTATAGCACTTCTAGGGTTAGTACTTGTACCCCAACTCTTGCTAATCCAATCATTCCTGCACAGTTATTCTGACAGGTTTAATTATGGAAACAAGGTACGAAATATTGTTCAAGGGGAGGTGGGAAGGGGGATACACCACAAACATAGAAATAATATAGTGATACTACACTAACTAAGTATGCATGCAGTTACAAGAAGATATAATTATAACATCCCCCCTTAACTGCATGCAACACTAGCTAGTGTAGGGGCGTTCAACCCGAAGTGCAACAATCACCGTGCCGCAGCTGGGGCCACCGTCTCCCACGGTGGGATACCCGCCTGCGGTTTAACCCCCGTAGTGGATGCCCCTTGTCCTCATCGAGTGCGACCACGCCCGGATACGACGGAACGAAAAAAAACGAAACGAGACAACGAGTGGTACCAGGATTAGGTGATGCAAGGAGGAGGAAAAGGAAGAGGGAACGGGTGCAACGGAAAGTAGAGGAGGAACGAGAGAGAATCAAAACAAGATGCTATCATCCCCCTTCAACCTCTCTCTCCTCCCCCCCCCCCCCCCCCCCCCCACACAGCAACAAGTGCTGCAAGGAGAGAGGAAGAGAGAGGGGAGGGACGGGCTGCTGGATGGTCACACCCGCAACGGAAGCCACGCCAGGGAGGGGAGGAAGCGCGTGCTGCCGTGTGTGGTCGTGCACTGGTGGCGTGGGGCGTGCACTGCTGTGCCTAGTGGAGCGCTGGTGGCGTGGGCCGCGCGCTGCTGCGCGTGGTCGAGCGCTGGTGGCGTGCGGCGCGCGCTGCTGTTCGCGGTTCTTACCGCTGGCACGGGGCGCGAATCGAGGGGCGTTTGAATCGCGATTCGGGGGGCCTTTGAGGTGCGACTCGGGGGGCCTTCAGGGCGCAAAATCGGGGCGCTCGGGGGACCCGCGACGCGCATTACGGGCTGCGCGGCAAGTGAGCCCATGGTTCTTAAAAAAAAAAAAAAAACAAAACAAAAAATACAGGAAAGAACTTGCTCTAATACATGTCAAGATAACAACTACAGTAACTTTGGAGGAACCATAACTTAGGGCGCATTCCAAAGTTTGCCCACCATCCGAAGTTTTCCCACACTAATCGAAATGCTGACGTGGCATTAATTTACATTTGAAAGTTTGCCCATGCGGTTCGACTTTTGCCCACTATCATTCCAACCGGCCACGATGGCTACGACTGCTCTGTCCGATAGTGTACGACAACACCGAACGTGCCATTTTTTGTCTGTTTTGACATTTTTGGCGTTGAACCGGTTGACTCATGCAAGTCGCCGTCAAAATACATTTAGCCCGCTGCCCACGTATTCGTATTCAGTTTTGTTCAAGTCGAAAAACTTTAGAAGAGGCGCGGCCGTTAGTGTTGGCCGTCTGTGTTCTGCATAACAATTGTCGCCGAACCATGCGTATGCGAGCAGTGGCGCGAATTCCATTGGGGGCGAAGTCACTTTGGTTGGATACCTGACATGCGAAGACTGCTACCCCAGTCGCCCGCCAGAATTAGGTTTGGTGGTCAAAGTGGGAGCATTGCCACCGAATTGCCCATCAGCTTCGGAAAAACGGTATGGTGGGCAAACTTTGATGGTGGGCAAACTTGAGACTGCAATCTTAGAGTAGCGAGAGAGACACGAGAGAGAAGAGGGGGTTTGATTATGGAAACAAGGTACAAAATATAGTTCAAGGGAAGGTGGGAAGGGGGGTACACCACCAACATAGAAATACTACAGTGATACTACACTAACTAAGTATGCATGCAGTTACACAAGAATATATAACTCTAACAAAGATTTGCCCTTGGATAAAATACATGGTTAACCATACCTGGGGAGGACTGGGTACCGACCTTTTTATGACATTGCCCTTGTGCTCTCTGCAAACCACCTACGCTGAGCTATTTTCACGGTCCCATGTGGGTCATTTGGAGGACCAACAGACTGGGTCATCCTTTCTTGCTTTTCGTCATACCCTAGTCTGCTGGCCGTCTACTTTGGTTGCAAGGTTCATGCGCCCCGACAGCACGATCGCTTTGGGCATCGTCCACCTTCAACACATTCACGAACCCAAACGGGGATGTACGTCCTATTGGCAAAGGTGACGTATTGGGTTCACATCCTCCTGCGCACACTTTGCGTGCGGCTGCGAGACCAGATGGCGAAGGTGTTTTTGGCATCACAGCAGTTCAGGGTGGGGGTTATCTATGGGGCAGACATCGTGGTTAGAGGTGTTCGCATCGCCTTGGCTTACCACCATGACTGAGTTGTTCTTCAGCTGGACATGGCAAATGCCTTAACTTCGTTTCACCGAGACACCATGCTCCAGCCCTCCACGTTAGCCGTGAGTTTCTCCGTCTCGTCCCTTTTATCCGCCTGTTTTACGGGTTTCCTTCAGACCTCCACTATCAGGCTGGTAGGGAAGTGACCACCATACATTTGGAGCGCGGCACTGGCCAGGGCGACGCTCAACCCTTTTTGTATGCACTCACACAGCGTATGCCTCTTAACTAAGTATTAGCTGGGGCGATGTCCAGCTCTGGTCATATGCAGACGACACCTATGTGCTTGGCCCTCCCGACATAGTGCTACACCACTTTATAGAGATTGTGAGACAATTAAGCGAGCTGGGCCTTGCGGTCCAGCCGCACAAATGTCTTGTCTACCATAGGGACTTCATCATTCACATGGGTATGGAGGCTTTCACGAGTCTGGGGATAGAGGTTGCTTGTAGAGGACTCATCGTCACAAGAGTTCCTGTAGACTCTGGTGCGTTTGTAGAAAGGAGCCTCCCTGAGCGCCTAGAGACGATGGGTCGACTGTTGCCATGGCTTCCGAGACTACGCCAGCCCCAGACAGCGGCCACCCACTCTCGGCATGTGCCAGCAAGCGATCACAATATCCGACGAGGACAATCCCTCCAACACCAGTGGTGCTCGTCAGTTTTGCACGATGGGATGCAAGGTTGGGGCAGCAGAAGGAGATCAGCGACATGATGGTACCTCACTACGTGGTGCGGTGTCCTTGTTTTGGCATCGCCATGGTCATCTACGGCACAATGAAGTACATGCTTCGAGGGTTTATTGTCGAGGCACGCATCGCGGTGAATGTGGAGAATATCACACTGATCCCGCACCTGTAGGCAGCTTGAGTGCGACTGCAGGGATTCTCAGTAGTGGGAGGACGGACACAGTCCGGGGGACTGTCGCGGCCAGTAGGTGGGGTGGAAAAGATGGGTGGACGGGTGACACAACGACAACAGCAACATCGGGGTCGGGTAGGGCGAGGGGCTGTCGGGCACAGGGGACGGCAGGAGGGGCAGGTCAGAAGGGGAGAGAAGAGGGGATGCCAGGGGCAACAGCAGGAGGGTCGGCAAGGGCAGGACGGGCAGGCCTGTTTGAACATGGAGAGGGGTTGTCAGGGGCAGCAGCATGAGGGCGAGGAGGGGCAGGAGGGTCTCTAGGCCCAGGGGACACCGCCTTTGAGTTTTGGCTTGCGTGCGGGGAGGGGGTGAGAGGAGGTAACAGGGGACACGGCTGCGGAAGGAGCACTGTGTCAGAATCCTAACCACTAGACCATTGGGATAAAAGGGCTTGTTAAGTATCGGGTCAGTGCGCCCATAACCCCCCAGGACAACGAGCCTGTAACCCTTCCCTAGGATCAAACGGGGATCACCAGTGGACCTCTGACACCCCCACGCACTGGGATGCCCGAAGTGCACACACTGGGATTCGAACCCGAGACCTTTGCTCTGATACCATGTCAAAATCCTAACCAGTAGACCATCGGGATAAAAGGGCTTGTTAAGTAGCGGGTCAGTGCGCCCATAACCCCCCAGGACAACGAGCCTGTAACCCTTCCCTAGGATCAATCGGGGATCACCAGTGGACCTCTGACCCCCTGGGGTTAGGAGGGGAGGGTTCAGAGGTGAGCGATGTAGTGGGGCATAGGGTGAGGGGAGTGGGGGGTTTGGGAGAGGAAATTGTCAGAGGTCCACTGGTGATCCCCGATTGATCCTAGGGAAGGGTTACGGGCTCGTTGTCCTGGGGGGTTATGGGCGCACTAACCCGTTACTTAACAAGCCATTTTATCCCAATGCTCTAGTGGTTGGGATTGTGACATGGTATCAGAGCGAAGGTCTCAAGTTCGAATCCAAGTGTGTGCACTTCGGGCATCCCAGTGCGGGGGGGTGTCAGAGGTCCACAGGTGATCCCCGATTGATCCTAGGGAAGGGTTATAGGCCCGTTGTCCTGGGGGGTTATGGGCGCACTGACCCGCTACTTAACAAGCCGTTTTATCCCAATGGTCTAGTGGTTGGGATTGTGACAGGGAGAGGAAGAGAGGGGGGATTATGGGCACACTGACCCGCTACTTAACAAGTCATTTTATCCCAATGGTCTAGTGGTTGGAATTGTGACAGGGAGAGGAAGAGAGGGGATGAGATAGGTGGGTGGGGGAGAGGATAGAGGGACAGAGGAGACGACAGAGGAGGCACAGAGTGACCAGGCATAGCAGCAGCTAGTACAGCAGACAAGGCCGGTCGGACACACAGGTCGCAGAGGGACACCCGCCCGCAGAGGGGCGGAGCAACACATATTTTCACGACGAGACTCACTGCGCGTCTCTCTGTGGCACTACGGCGCGCGCAGGCGAAGAGCATCACACAGCATGCCGTGCAGCAGTTGGGAGGACCGGATGACGGTGGATGCCTGCACCTGTGGTACTGGGTGCATGGCAGGGCAACTGTGTCAAATATTATAGTCTTAGTGATGTGTGTTATAGGGGGTACAACTGTTAGGGTTAGGTTTATGTACCCCAACCAACCTTAGTGAAACCAACACTTTCATTCTTGACATGGTATCACCTAGGTTAGGATCCTGTACGATCTCGTTCCTCTCGTTCACGTCCGTAGCGCCCGAGCCTGTCCCGTACCCTAGTGCCCGTTACGCCCGTACTGTCCCCAAGTGCCTCTCGCGCTTGTCTCTCTCGTGCCCTAGCGCCCGCTGTGCCTGTGTCGCGTCGCCCCTGCTGTCCCGTCCCGTCCCGTCGCCCCTGCTGTCCCGTCCCGTCGCCCCTGCTGACCCATCCCGTCCCATCGCCCCTGCTGTCCCATCCCGTCGCCCCTGCCGTCGCGTCGCCCCTGGTGTCCCGTCCCGTCCCGTCGCCCCTGCTGTCCCGTCGCCCCTGCTGTCCCGTCCCGTCGCCCCTACCGTCGCGTCGCCCATGCTGTCCCGTCTCGTCCCAGTCGCCCCTGCTGTCCCATCGCCCCTGCTGTCCCGTCCCGTCGCCCCTGCCGTCGCGTCGCCCCTGCTGTCCCGTCCCGTGCTGTCGCCCCTGCTGTCCCGTCGCTTCACCCCCTGCTATCCCGTCCCGTCCCGTCGTCCCTGCTGTCCCGTCGCGTCGCCCCCCCTTCTGTCCCGCCGCATCACGCCGCCCGTCCCGTCCCGTCCCGTCCGCGTCGCGCTTCCCATCCCTTCCCGTCGCACGCGCCCCGTGCGCCCTGCCTGTCCGTCGCGCCCCTGCTGCGCCCAGCCCGTCCGTCGCCCCCCGTGCGCCCTGCCCGTCCGTCGCGCCTCGTGCGCCCTGCCCGTCCGTCGCGCCCCGTGCGCCTTGCCCGTCCGTCGCGCCCCGTGCGCCCTGCCTGTCCGCGTCTGTCGCGCTCGTCCCTGCCAGTCGCATCCGTCCCGTCGTGTCGCACTGTTTGTCACGCCCTACGCTGACCCTTTAGGCGTTTAGGGTTTCGGCAGCAGCAGTATCCACCTCTATGCTTCCGCTATGGAGACTCTTAGGGTCCTGCACTTTGACGCTGAGGGTAGGCCGCTCGAGTTCTCGGTCTGGCTCCTACGTGCGCACCGCCTCCTAGAGAGCCAGGTTTAGGCACATGAGACTCTGTGGGCGCACGCTTTCGGTGACCTACCTGAGCCAACTGACCCTGCACCCTTAGCAGCTGACCCCACACCTGCAGACAGTGACCGTTATGCACGCGAGCGTGCTGGCGTGACAGCGTGGAAGTCGCGTGACGCTGCGGCCTGCATCGCCCTCAGCAGCCTCCTCCCTGAGTTTGAGGAGACCCACTTCACTCAGGTTCGCACGGCTAGTGAGTTCCTGACTGCGATCAAGGCCCGCTACGCGACTCCCACCACTGTCTCTCTTGGTCCCCTGTTCCTTCCGTTCCTGTTTCCTGACCTCGCCTCGTTTGAGCACACTGCTGACTTGATCACTCATCTGCGCTCGCTCAATTCAAGCTACCGCACTGCTTGCACTGACGCGCAGCTTGCACTACTCCCTCCCCTTATGGCGATTACTATCTATTTTATCGCCACTAGCCTCCCTGACCGCCTTGCTTCGGTTCGTGATGCGATTCTTCTGAAGCACCCTAGCGAGCTCACTATCGAGGTCCTTGAGTCAGCCCTCAAGGACGTCGAGAGCAACCTCCGCTCGGTAGCCTCTGCCTCTGGTGTTGTGCCCCCTCCACTGTTCCACGGGTGCACTTTCCCTTAGCTGCCCACCTTTACTGCCCTTCTTGCCACTGCCGCTACTGACGTGGCCGCAGCTGCTGTTACGACTTATTCACGGTCTCGGGGTAGGAGTGGCAAGAGGGGCGGTCAGGGTGCGGGCGGAGGTGGCGGAGGTGGTGGGGGTGACGTGGCGAGCGGCGGCGGCGGGAGTGCAGGCGCTGGAGGAGCGCCTCGTGCAGCGGCCGGTGACTCCCCTGCTGCAGGTGGTGGAGGTGACGCCTGGGTTCGTCAGCCACCTACTGGTCTGCCAGCTGCAAGGGGTGGAGCAGCGGCGTGGTACCTGACTCGACGACAGCAGCAGCAGCAGCAGCAGCCCCTCCCCTCGCAGCAGCCACAGCAGCAGCGGCGGCAGCAGCAAGATTCGGGGCAGGGGTCGGGACAGCGTCAGCTGCAGCGCGGTGTCGTCCACCCTCCCTGCACCTATCACATTCTGACAGGTGCCCGCCGCAGCCAGCCTTGTGGCCGCAGCCACCCACCGGGTCAGTGCTTTGATTAGCTTACTGACACGATTCGATTGGCCTACGGCGTTGACAGCCATGCCCCTGACTGGCTTCCCCTTGTTCAGATGTACGGCCCCGCTCTGTGGGGCATGTTGGTTGATCTCTTTAGAACTCCTCATGCTATGTATGCTGTTGTTGACTCTAGTGCTTCTGACTCTGTTTACTCGAGTGTTGTTAGCTTGGGTGCTAGTCTTGCTGAGGTGCCTGCATCTAGTGTAGGTACTTGTGTAGACAATAGTCCAGGAGCTGCTCCGGAGGACGCTTCGCTGTCTTTCACTCTGGACTCCGGAGCTTCCCACTGTTTCTTCCGCGACTGCACGACACTTACCCCGCTTCCTACGCCGGTCTCTGTAGCACTGGCTGATCCCACTTCGGGACCAGTCACTACTCGCTACACTACTACGCTTCCGTTCCCGGCTGTTCCCTCCGGTTCTCTGACCAGCTTCCACGTCCCCTCGTTCTCGAGGAACTTGGTGGGCGTGAGGCCGCTCGTGAGTCAGCACGTGGGTGTGTGGATTGAGCCTTCTGGCGAGACTTCGGTTTGTGTCGACGGGAACACGTACGCGCCTCTCGCCACCTTTACCGCTGAGCCTGGCTCTGGTCTCTACACACTTCACACTGGCCCCCAAGGGCAGCAGCATCAGCAGCAGTAGCAGGAGCAGCAGCAGTAGCAGCAGCAGTAGCAGCGGCAGCGGTAGCAGCAGCTACTGCCCCCGACCCCTGTCACTGTCCCCCGTTAGGTTCCCGCGTCTCACCAGGTTGCCGCGTCTCCCTAGGTAGCTGTGTCTGGTCAGGTTCCAGTGTCTGGTCCAGTTGCTGCGTCGTGCTCCTGCCGGTTGCTTGCCCACCCCACTGTTTTGTGGCACCACCGGATGGGGCACCCGTCCATTTCTCACCTGCACGCTATGTCTAGTCAGCGTCTTGTCTTAGGCCTCCCGCGTATCTTGCCGACGTTGCCGCCTTCGCTTGCGCCACCCTGCGGTCCATGCGTCGAGGGTTGGCTGCGTGCCACCCCTCTCTCCTCCTCCCTTCGTCCGGCCACCGAGCCCTTCGAGACTCTCCACTTGGGCGTCTGGGGCCCCGCCTCGCGCCTGGGCCCTGAGCGAGAGAGTTTCTTTCTCGTGGTCGTTGATGACTACTCCCGCTACACCACAGCGTTCCCCCTGGCGAAGAAGTCCGATGTGACTTCTACGCTGATCCGGTGGTTGCTTAACACTGCGGACACTCGTGGCCGTCGTGTCAGCTGTCTTCACTCCGACAGCAGGGGTGAGTTTCCCTCTGGCGTTCTCGCTCGATTCTGTCGCGAGCAAGGCGTCAGTCCTGGACGCTTCCAGAGTCCCCACAGCAGAATGGGGTTGCTGAGCGCCGCATAGGCTTGGTCATGGAGATCGCCCGCACCTCCATGACTCACGCCCATGCCCCCCCTTTTCTGTGGCCCTACGCGGTTCGGTACGCTGCTCACCAGCTGAACCTCTGGCCACGTGTCTCTCGGCCAGAGGTTTCACCGACCAGTCTTTGGACCGGGTCCCCTGGTGTTGCGTCGCGTTTTCGTGTCTGGGGTTGCTTGGCACTTGTTCGCGACACCTCCGCGGACAAGATCTCGCCTCGCGCTGTTTCCTGCGTGTTCCTTGGTTTCCCTGAGGACTCGTCTGACTACACCTTTTACCACCCCCCCCTTCACCGGTTCTTTGACTCTCGTGACGTCAGTTTTGACGAGTCCATCCCCTACTACGTCAGGTACCCCTGTCGAGGTCTCCTGGTTCCTCCTGCCCCTCTCTTCCTGACTTCAGCTCCCCCTCGTGCTCCCCCGGTACAGCCTCACCCCCCTGGTCTTGCCTCGTCAGGTGTGTCACACGCTACCCCTCCCCCCTCGGTAGCCCCTCAGGTGAAGCCTCCTTCCCCGCAGTCCTCCTCCCAACCTACAGCAGACCCTGCGGGAGCCGGTTTTCGTGGCGAGGACCCTGGAGGTGCTTGCTCTAGAGGTGCTGGAGTTGGAGCAGAGAGCGTACATCTGCGAGGTCCTGGTTCTGGGGGTGTTGGAGCTGGAGCTGAGCCCGTGACTGCAGAAGACTCTAGTCTTCGGGGAGCTGGTGTTAGTGGAGCTGTCCCTGGGGGTGCTACGACTGGGGGTGCGCCCTCTGGTGGACCTGGAGAGCCTGGGACGGACCCTGTTACTTCTGGTGGTGCTGGCTCTGGGGGTGGTGCGAGTGGTTCTTTGGAGAGCGGTCCTGGGGCTACCACCGCTCCGGACACTACTCCTCCCCCCCACCCCTACCCGACCCAGCACCAGGCCCGTGTTCGCCGTGCCCGTGAGGAGCAGCTGCAGTTGGAGCGAGAGGAGAGAGAGTTGGAGCGGCAGCAGCTCGAGCTACAGCGGCTGGAGGAGGAGGAGCAGCAGCGGCAGCAGCAGCCGGAGCAGGAGCAACCGCAGCAGTTGCCGCAGCAGCAGCAGCAGCAGCAGCAACAGCAACCACCTCCTCCTCCTGTCTCTGGTCTTCGGACCCTCGGTCTCCCTTCTCCTTCTCCTCCCTCCCCCCCCTCTCCTCCGGTCTCTGGTCCTCCGCTTCCTCCTCCTGACCCCTCCCCAGCTGTTTTCCCTCCTCCTCTGCCCCCGTTGTCCCCTCCTCTTTCCCACACTTGGCCTTCGCGTCGCTCTCCTCGTGCTCGTCCCTCGTCCCCTGTTCCCTTCACTGACCTTCGTACTGCCCTGTTTCGTTCTACTCCGCCTCGTTTGTCTCCTTCTGTACTTCCTTCTCCTCCTGAGTTGGCTCTCACTGCTTCCCTCTCTACTCCTGTCACAGACTACTACCGCACGTACCGTCCTGTTCTCTCTCGTGTTCTCACCTCTCTTGTTACCGACCCACGTGCTTCTCTGTCCTCTGTCTCTGCTCTTACTGCCGCAGTCACTGAGTTTGCCTCTACTCGCTGCCTTGACTACGCCACCAGTCTTGTGGCTGCTCCTCCTACCAGTCCTCTGGCCGTCGGGGGTGAGTCTGCCCTTGGCTGTGACGCCCTAGAGGACAGGCAGTTTGAGCTGGAGTTCCTGGCAGCCGCTTCCCCTCATCTCTGTGCCATGCTGCTCGCCCCTGAGGGAGACCCCGACGCCCTTGACATACCGACTCCTCGCACTTACGCTGAGGCAGTGTCAGGGCCTTGGGCCTCTCAGTGGAGAGTTGCCATGGACTCAGATATGGCCTCCTACATATCCACAGGCACCTACGTCGACAAGGTTCCCCCCCTTGGGGCAAACGTAGTCGATGGCATGTGGATCTTCAGGGTGAAGCGGCCACCAAGATCTCCTCCGGTCTTCAAGGCGCGCTTTGTGGCCTGAAGTTTCAGTCAACGCGAGGGAGTTGACTTCTTTCAGACCTTCGCGCCTACCCCGAAGATGACCACTCTTCGGGTGTTTCTGCACGTAGCAGCACTGAGAGACTACGAGTTACACTCTCTTGACTTCTCCACTGCTTTCCTTCAGGGAAGCCTACACGAGGAGGTCTAGTTACGTCGTCCCTCTGCCTTCACTGGCACTTTCCCTCCTGGGACCCAGTGGAGGCTGAGGCGACCAGTCTACGGTCTCCGTCAGGCTCCTCGTGAGTGGCACGACACCCGCTCTACCCTGTCTGACCTCGGTTTCCAGCCGTCTTCTGCCGACCCGTCGCTC